CGCACCCCCCCCCCCCACCCCCCCGTTTGCTGGCTCAGTGCTTTGCACATAGTTGATAAATAGTAACTGATTTTCAGCTGCTATACATTCTCATATTTGTAACTCTTAGGAGAATGTATACCATTTTCAGCAAGTTTTGAATTTACAACTTGGGGTATGAAAGCTAACTAGGAAGGGACAGTGCACATGCCCTATTATTGATGTTTTTCATTCTAAGTTAGTTCAGAATAGTTTTCTAATTAAAGTTGTTTATCATTTATAATATTGCCAGGAAAGATTAAAACATCTTGCCAAAAGGAAAATTTGCTGGTTATGTCTTTGGAGTATGTCATAAGTACTAATCTGGCAATTCTTTGAGTTGATTTCATGAAATTATAATCCTTTTGTTAATAAAGGATTAATAAAAATAAAGAAGTGGGAATTCCCCGGCGGTCCAGTGGTTAGGACTCTGAGCTTTCACTGCTGAGGGCCCGAGTTCTATAACTAAGATCCCACAAGCTGCGTGGCACTGCCAAAAAACAAAGAAGCAAGCTCAGAATTTAGGAAAACACTATCTCCTTTGATCATAGTATCATCCTATGACCCACATAGCCTTAGCAGGATCATTAGCTTGTTTGCTGTCCTCCTGAGGACAGAACTGAGCCTTAATGCAAGTTCCTTGCTGTAGATTTTGCTACTGCACCAATACTAATTTCCTGCGGGAGGGCTGGTCTTACCAAACATGCCTAGTTTTAGCTCACTTCTTTTGGGTATTAACAAAATTTGCAGAAATTTAATTAGTCTCCTCCATTAGAGCCAGTTTTATTCCAAGGGCTTACACAATGTAACACATGCTGTTCAGACCTATATAGCAGTAGATTTTACCATAACTAGTACATTGTAATAACTCATGAGTAATTCGGATTGTATGAGTTTCATTATAGCAGTATAATGAAAGAACCTCATAGATGTATTACTAAAGGTAACCTTTCAAATCCAGATGTTAGGATTAATTTTTTAGCCACGTGGCATGCATGCGGAACTTCCCCAACCAGGGATTGAACCTGTATCCCCTGTAGTGGAAGCAGGGAGTCTTAACCACTGGACCACTGGGGTAGTCCTTTTAGATCTTTGGTATATGTTACTATTTGATTATTTATAGTGGTTACCTGTGGACATGATTGAAATTTATAGCGTGTTTAAATTTGTTTTCTTTTATGTCTTTTAATTTTATTGTGGTAGAAAACATATAACATAAATATATCCTCAGCAAAAATTTAAGCGTACAGTACAGCATTAACTGTACGCATATTGTATGAAATTTTAGTTTTGATGTAGTATTTGATATAAGTTCTTATTTCCTTGTGAATTCATAGGTTAACTGTAGGTTATAGGTAATTAAATTTGAATTAAAAAAATGTAGTGACTGACAAAACATAATTATGAACATTTTCCTTTTATTTCAGAGTTTTCTTGGAGGATTTTTTGGTCCCATTTGTGAGATTGATGTTGTCCTTAATGATGGGGAAACGAGGAAAATGGCAGAAATGAAAACTGAGGATGGCAAAGTAGAAAAACACTATCTTTTCTATGATGGAGAATCTGTTTCAGGGAAGGTAAATATTTTGTTTGGAGAATTACCTAGTTGTAGAGTATTAGAATTAGTCATGAAAGTGGCTTGTGCTGTATCTAAATTTGAATGATTTTATTAGAGATGGAAAATTTTTTCAGAAGGTCAGTTAAATCCTTGATTCAATAGAACATTTACAGGAAAGATTCTTAAACTGGAAGGGTTACAGGGGCAGAGTCTAAATTAAACTGTGTGCAAGATTTTGTGTGTTTGTGACTATGTGCATCTGTTTAACTTCAGACAGTTTCTACATTGGGGCTGTGATCCACTCAAAGTTTGTTTCTGCTTTAACATAAAGTTGAGTTGTGGAGATTGGGGATAATTCTCTAGTATACGTTTCTGAAAGTTTCTTTCTCATTCTTTATAGCTTATCTGTCTGTACTACTGTCATTGTGTCTGTTGATCTCATTTCTTGATACTCTGTAGAGGACTTAAGTACATTTGGAACATGTCCATGCATGGTCAGATACATTTATGATACCTTTTGTGGTTTAACTTTTTCCTCCTTTTCCTTACCAAGTGATGTATAAGATTATTCTTATACCTTATGGAACATGATTAGTACTCATTAGTTTGTGATACTGAAGAATGGTAATATCCTAGATAAAATCAAGTCATAAAACATTTGAAATAATTTTTCTAATTATAAAATATTAAGAGTTTCTCTCCCCTGCTTGTTAAGGTGATACATACACATGGTAGATAGTTTGGGAAATAAAATAATTATCTATATTCCCATTATATGGAAATAATTCACTGTTAAAATTTGAATGTGTTTCCTCCTAGTCTCTCTGCGTTAATGTATGTATAATATATTAAGCATACCTTTTCCCTATTATTGGATATTTAAATAGTTTCTACTGTATTTTTCAGACTGCTTGTAGTATATCACCGTATCTTTAGTAATACAGACATGTTTTTAATAATAAAACTTTAGTACATAAGTTTTTCTCCAGATTTCTGTAGGATAAGATTACTTCCTTAGAATGAATTCCTGGAAGTGAGTTGCTGGACCAAAAGACATGAATATTTGAAGGGTATCAATACATATTAACCTGGAGAATTTGCATCAAATCACATGTTCACTTAATGCCTTGTTTCACTCAGGGTAGTACTGAATATGGTCACTTTTTAATCTTTGCTATTTCTATAATCAAAAATGATATTATTCTTTGATAGCATTTCTTTGGTTACTAGATAGGTTGAACTTAGGTTTATTAGCTATTTTACTGCATCATGTATTCTGGTCCTTTGCCAGTTTACTTACTGATGTCTTAGTGTTATATCTGAAATAAATTTTTTGCTTTTCTACTTTACTCTCCCTTTAAAATGATGGGGAGAAAGAGAAGAGGCCTGAAAGAGAGCAGACAAAATCATTAAAAGGATGGAACACGTCAAACGAGTAAAGGAAATAGTGTTGGTTCTGTAAGAAACTGCCAAACTATTTTCCAAAGTAGCACTACCATTTTCAGCAATGAATGAGAGTTCCTGTTGTACCACATTCTCGCTAGCATTTGATGATGTCAGTGTTCTAGATTTTGCCCATTCTAACAGTTTTGTAGTGGTATCTCATTGTTTTAATTTGCAGTTCCCTAATAATATGATGTTGAACATCTTTTCATATGTTTATCTTCAAATATATGTCTTTTTTGGTGAAGTGCTTGTTCAAATCTTTTGCCTAGTTTTCATTCGGTTTGTTGGTTTTCTTCTTATTGAGTTTTAAGAGTCGGAAACAGCCCTTTTTGGAAAACAGCCCTTTCTCAGATGTGGCTTCTGCAAATATTTTCTCCCAGTTTATGGCTTGTCGTCTTCTCATTTTCTCGCTACATGTGTAAATTTCCATTTCCCTGACATCTAATGAGGTTGAGCGACTGTTCATATATTTATTGGCTATTTGATGTCCTTTGTGAAATGCCTATTCAAGGCTTTGGGTTTTGGTGGGGGGGTTTTCGGGCTCAGTTGACTCAGTTGACTTTTTCTTATTGATGTGTAGGTTTTTGGGTTTTTTTTGGTATGTTTTTGATACGTGCTTCTCAATATAGAGTCCTTTGCATATGTATTATAAATATCTTTCTGGCTGGATTTTTCACTGTCTTAATGGTGTCTTTGGATGAACAGGAGTTCTTAATTTTAATACTCTACAAATGTTAGTGCTTTTTGTATCCTGTTTAAGACATCTTTGCCTACCGTATGGGCATGAAGATGTTCTCCTGTTTTTCCTGTAATTTAAAACAATTTTACATTTCACATTTAGATCTTCAGTTTTTTGGAATTGATTTTGTCTTTGTGATATACGAGTCAAGGCTACTTGTTTGTTTGTTTGTTTTTCGCCACATGGATATCTTATTAACCCAGGACATTTATTGAAAAAGCCATCCTTTCCCCCACTACACTGCAGCATCACCTTTGTCATCAGCCAGAGGTTGTATGAGTCTGTTTCAACATCTCTGTTCTGTTCCATTGGTTTATTTGTGACATATACTTTCATTTTTAATTTTTTTCATGTCTTTTTTAAAAAATAGCTTTATTGAGTTGTAATTCACATACTATAAAATTCACCTTACTAAAGTGTACAGTTCAGAGGTTTTTACTATATTTGCAGAGTTATGCAACTGTCACCACTATCTAATTCCATAATGTTTTCATCACCCCAGAAGAAACACCATACCGTTAGCAGTAACTCCCTTGGTGCCATAAACTGAATGTTTGTGTCCTTATAAGATTCATGTGGGGCTTCCCTGGTGGCGCAGTGGTTGAGAGTCCGCCTGCCGATGCAGGGGACATGGGTTCGTGCCCCGGTCTGGGAAGATCCCACATGCCGCGGAGCGGCTGGGCCCGTGAGCCATGGCCGCTGAGCCTGCGCATCCGGAGCCTGTGCTCCGCAACGGGAGAGGCCACAGCAGTGAGAGGCCCGCGTACCGCAAAAAAAAAAAAAAAAAAAAAGATTCATGTGTTGAAACCTAATCCCCAGTGTGACGTATTGGGGGGGGTGGGGCTGGGGGAGGTGTTGGGAGATGATTAGGTCATGAGGGCAGAGCCCTCATGAATGGGATTAGTGTCCTCAGAGAAATCCCATGTGCAGCTTCTGACATGTGAGGACATAGTGAAAAGACAGCCATCTGTGAACCAGAAAGCAAGCTCTCCCCGGACACCAAATCTCCTGGCGCTTTGATCTTGAACTTCACAGCCTCCAGAAGTGTAAGCAATAAATTTATGTTGTTTTTAAGCCACCTAGTCTATGGTATTTTGTCATAGCAGCCCGAATGGACTAAGACACCTAGCATCCACTAATCTATAAATGTGCTTTCTTTCTCTATGGATTTGCCTATTTTGGACATTTCATATAAATGGAATCATAAAATATGTGGCCTTTTGTGTTTGGCTTCTTTTACTCAGCATGATGTCTTCAAGGTTTATTCCTTTTAAAAAAATTTTTGGTAAAAAATATATATAATAAAATTTGCCATATTAACGATTTCTATGTGTCTAATTCAGTAGCATTAATCACATTCACAATGTTGTGCAATCATCACCACTATTTTTTTTTATAAATGTATTTTATTTATTTATTTTTGGCTGCATTGGGTCTTCGTTGCTGTGCTCAGGCTTTCTCTAGTTGCGGAGAGTAGGGCCTCCTTTTCGATATGGTGCATGGCCTTCTCATTGCAGCGGCTTCTCTTGTGGCAGAGCAAGGGCTCTAGGGCGCACGGGCTTCAGTAGTTGTAGCACTTTAGTAGTTGTAGCATGTGGGCTCAGTAGTTGTGGCTCTCGGACTCTAGAGCGCAGGCTCAGTAGTTGTGGCACACGGGCTTAGTTGCTCTGCGGCACATGGGAGCTTCATGGACCAGGGCTCGTACCCATGTCCCCTGCATTGGCAGATGGATTCTCAACCACTGTGCCACCAGGGAAGCCCCCATCACCACTATTTTAAAAATTTGTGCATCACCCCAAACAGAAACTTTGTACCCATCAAGCAATAACTACTCTTTTCCCTTTTCTCCCAATCCATGGATACCTCTAGCCTACTTTTTTAAAAAATAAGTTTATTTATTTATTTATTTATGGCTGCGTTGGGTCTTCGTTGCTGCTCACAAGCTTTCTGTAGTTGCGGCGAAGTGGGGGCTACTCTTTGTTGCGGTGCGTGGGCTTCTCATTGTGGTGGCTTCTCTTTTTTTGTGTGTGGTGGCTTCTCTTGTGGCGCACAGACTCTAGGCGCATGGGCTTCAGTAGTTGTGGCATGCAGGCTCAGTAGTTGTGGTTCACGGGCTCTAGAGTGCAGGCTCCGTAGTTGTGGCACACGGGGTTGCTGCGTGCATGTGGGATCTTCCTGGACCAGGGCTCAAACCTGTGTCTCCTGCATTGGCAGGCGGATTCTTAACCACTGCTCCACCAGGGAAGTAAGTCCCTCTAGTCTACTTTTTTCCCTATAAATTTGCCTGTTCTGTGCCTGTTCTATTTCATATAAGTGGTCATATAAGATTTGTCTTTTTGTGTCTGCCTCATTTCATGTAGCATAATGTTTTCAAGGTTCATTCATGTTGCAGCATGTATCAAAACACCATTCTTTTCTATAGCAGAATAATATTTCAGTATATATCTGTGTAGTATATGAATGTACCACACTTCTTCATCCATTCATCAGTTGAGGACATTTCAGTTGAGGATATTTGGGTTTCTATTTGTTGACTGTTATGAATATTGCTGTACATTTGTGTGTTAAGTTTTTGTGTGACTGTGTGTTTTCATTTCTCTGGAGTGTATACTTAGGAATGGAATTGCTGGGTCATACATTAACTCTATGTTTAACTTTTAAGGGAACTGCCAGGCTTTTCCAATGCAGCTGCACCATTTTATATTCTCTTCAGCAATGTATGAGGGTTCCAGTTTCTTCACATTCTTGGCAATACTTATTATTGTCTGTATTTTTTATTGCCATCTTAGTGGGTGAGAAGTGGTCATAATGGTTTTGATTTGCATTTCCCCTAATGATGAATAATATTGAGCATCTTTTCATGTGCTTATTGCTGTTTGTATAACTCTTTTGGAGAAAAGTCTGTGCATATCCTTTGACCATTTTTAATTGGCTTATTTGTCTTTTGATTGTTGAGTTGTAAGAGTTCTTTATGTACTCTAGATACAAGTCTTTTGTCAGTTATGTTTTGCAAATATTTTCTCTATTTCTGCGAGTTGTCTTTTCACTTTCTTGGTGGTGTCTTGAAGTACTAAAATTTTCTATTTGATGATGTCCAGTTTATCTTTTTTAAAATTTCATTTCTCATGCTTTTGGTGTCATCTGAGAAACAGTTGCCTATCGAAGATAATGAAGATTTACACCTATGTTTTCTTCTAAGAGTTTTGTAACTGTAGCTCCTACATTTAGGTCTTTTATCCATTTTGAGTTAATATTTGTATATGGTGCAAGGTAGGGATCCAATTTCATTTTTTTGTATGTTGAAATTGAGTTGTTCCAGCACTATTTGTTGAAAAGAATATTCTTTCCCCATTGAATTGTCTTGGGACTCCTGAAGCATATTTTTTGTTGTTGTTGTTCTTTTTTTTTTTTTTTTTTTTTTGTGGTCCGCGGCCCTCTCCCTGTTGTGGCCTCTCCGGTTGCGGAGCACAGGCTTCGGACGCGCAGGCTCAGCGGCCATGGCTCACGGGCCCAGCCGCTCCGCGGCATGTGGGATCCTCCCGGACCGGGGCACGACCCCGTGTCCCCTGCATTGGCAGGCGGACTCTCAACCACTAAGCCCCCAGGGAAGCCCAGCATATACTTTTTTTTTTTTTTTTTGTGGTCCGCGGCCCTCTCCCTGTTGTGGCCTCTCCGGTTGCGGAGCACAGGCTTCGGACGCGCAGGCTCAGCGGCCATGGCTCACGGGCCCAGCCGCTCCGCGGCATGTGGGATCTTCCCAGACCAGGGCTCGAACCCGTGTTCCCTGCATTGGCAGGCAGATTCTCAACCACTGCGCCACCAGGGAAGCCCCCATTTTTTAAAGTTAAATTTAATTGCCGTCTGTCAAAAAAAGCTACAGAGAAGGAAACAAAATTACCCATAAGCATACATTCCAGAAGTAACTCCTGTTAAGAGTTTTTTCTGTAGTTTAAAAAATATAATTGGCATTATACTTGTATACAGTTTGACCATGTTTCCTTCATGTGACATACCATGCACATCTTCCCACATCATTAAATATTCTTTGACCTTATTATTTTTATACTTTAATTATACTCCGTCATATGATGTACTACAATTTGTTTAATTATTTACTTGTTTTTCTGAGATATTAATTTGGAAGGCAAGTAACTAACTCATCCTGGTCGCAGATATGGAAGATATAGAAGCATGAATATTTTAATTATGTAGTTTACAGACAGAAGTAACTGAACTTCGGTTTTTATTGGTCCTTAATTTCTGTTGTCTTTTGAAAACACTATTTGGAAGAAAAGCTTTTAAGAGTCATGCTACCAATATTTTTTTTATAGTGAAGAATAAACCTGGAAGTATGCTTTTTGGTATGTTAGCTAATCCTTAAATGTTTCAAATTTTGTTTTTAATCTGTATGTACTTTATAGATATTTTGTCAAATTAAAATGTATAAAATTAAGGTTTCCATTTGGCACATATGAATTTAGGGATTTTAGATTATATATTTAATTTGAAAAGTACATAAGATAATCATACTCAAAATTTAAATCTTTAGACATTCTGTTTTTAGGATGAGTAGCAGACTCAGGGCAATAAGCATTGCTTTTAAGATCAGGAATTATAACAATATATTGTTGGTTATAAAAGGCTGAAAGTGATCTTTAAGATCAGTTCTTGGAATTAGTAATAACCTTACATTAAAATGCTGTTGTAGAATTTTTTAGCTGTTGTAGAATTTTTTAACTGTTTGACCTGAAAACATATTTGAATAGTTGAAAGTTTTCCCTTTTATTGAGTCTTTATAGTTCTCCAGCTGTAAAGAAGGATTCCTTAATAACAAAGAAGATGCTTTAAGTGTACGTATAAGTAATAGGTTCATTACTGATTGTATATGAGTAGGTTTTACCTTCTCTGGCGTTATAAGGTCTAGGTAGGATCTAGGTATGTGGTGGTGTCTCAGACTTCAGAAATGAATACCTGAAATATTTATACATTGTATTCATCTGGAAGCAATCTGCTAGTAGGCCCACAAAGGATTGTTAACATCTCTTACAATTTCATGTTTTGGCAGGTAAACATAGCCTTTAAGCAATCTGGAAAGAGGCTAGAGCACCAAGGAATTAGAATTGAATTTGTAGGTCAAATTGGTGAGTTTTAAAATAGTATTACTTTTTTGTTCTTTGATAACTGAGTTTGAAGAGAGTTTGATTTGGCACTTAGCTTTATGGAAAGAAGGAATTAATTTTGCGTAATAAAAGAGGATTTATTTTATAAACATTAAATCATGTTTCTTTTAATTGTATTAAATATTTGACTAATCCTGCCTTTATTTGTGATTAAACTTAATTACTAAAAGTGAAAGGAGTTATGTAAGCTACCAGCCTTGAAAAATAATTCAAGTAAATTAGTTTATTCACTGAAATTTCCATCTGCCTACATTTTTCACCAGGTTTATTCACAATTAGCAGTGTCACTTTCATCCTTCACTTTCTAATTACCCATGCCGTTTGTCTTCCTAACTTAGTGTGTACCTGTAGCCAGACTCACTTGTCAATAGAAAATTCCATGTGAAAAGGAAAAGTGTAATTTCTTTTTGACTTAGATCAACATGTGTATGTTTCCGTATGTGTATTTCAGAGACATTCTTGATTTAGCAGGAGTTAAATTGTATAAATCTTTTGGTACTGCAGATTCGGAAAAGAGAAAAGAAAATAGGTGCTAGCTTTCTAAGTTTTACTGTACATTTTTAAAGTATCAAAATTGGAATGGGTGGATATTTATTTACATGTCTATTTTGGATGAGATTATATTTAAGGGGCAAATTATAGTAATTAACTGATAGCTGATTTTAGTCTTTTGCGTATTATAGTTTTTATCAAGGTAATATATTTGCCTAACTAAAGCAAAACAACAAGACAATACACTTTTTGCCTAGAAGGGAGGAAGTTCAAATAATTGCTGGAAATATGTCTGTTAAAACAGCTTCATACTGGGCAAACCCTAAATGCATTAAAGGAATGAATTCATTTTTTTATAATAGAAATTTTCACTTTGCTATGCTGCTTGAATTTTTTATGCCTAAATGGAGCATAATAGTGAGAAAGATAATGGAATTCAGATCATAGCTCTAGTATTTAAAGTGGAGACAAATCCAACTAATTTTTTTGTAAAAATTATTTGCTTTGGAAGTAGAAGTTTGGGTTTTAATGAGTTGGGTATTAAATATAATTGGTCTTTTTGCTTTTTAAAATTTCTTAGAACTTTTCAATGACAAGAGTAATACTCACGAATTTGTAAACCTAGTGAAAGAACTAGCCTTACCTGGAGAACTGACTCAGAGCAGAAGTTATGATTTTGAATTTATGCAAGTTGAAAAGCCATATGAATCTTACATCGGTGCCAATGTCCGTTTAAGGTATGAACGTGTATCAGAAACTAGACAGAATCAAAACCAGAAAGTAATGACTACTATTGAATGTCTTATTAGAACTTCTAATTATAATTTTGGAGTGGAAGGCTTAAGATTTTTAAAATTCTGTCAAATATTTTGGTTTTTTTCTGGCTAATGCTCATCTCATGTAGTAAGAGCCTTCCGTAGTTTTAGAGAATCCTATTTTGAGAAGTTTTAGTCATACATTTCCCTGTATGAATCGTTCTTAGGTACTTCATTTGTCCTGTAAATGGAATTACTCTCTAAATCCATTAGTTTCCCAATGATTCTCATTTAGTGTATGGTTAAGAAGTGATCTAGAGAAAAAGAAAAAACAAACAAAAAGCAGTGATCTAGAGAGATGTCTTCAAGTAGCCTTGATGATGGTGCTTCAAATTGATCTAAAAAGTGTGTACACTATTCTTAAAATTGAACTTTGTATTTTTTCTATGGTGGGGTCATTTATTTAAAAATTAAAACTTCTTCATGAAGTAAATGGAGTAAATTGATTCCTAAGGAGTTCCAGCAAGGAGAAAGCAGAGTTGCAGTTAATGTTTGCTTATTTAAAACACTGAGATATATCACAGGAGATTTAACTTGTCCTCTCCATTAATTTTGTAGGTATTTCCTTAAAGTGACGATAGTAAGAAGACTGACAGACTTGGTAAAAGAATATGATCTTATTGTTCACCAGCTTGCTACCTATCCTGATGTCAACAATTCTATTAAGATGGAAGTGGGCATTGAAGATTGTCTACATATAGAATTTGAATATAATAAATCAAAGTAAGAACCTTTCACAAACAGATAATGTAAATGTTCAGGGAAAATTAAGAAATAAACCTTTTATGTCTTTGTAAATTGGTCAAGGTAAGGATAGAATCAACATTAATCTGACGTTAACAGACCAACAGAATCTCTGAGCTGAAAGAAACTTTAGGAATTTGGTTTTGTTTCTGATTCAGCACAGATGTCTTTCTTATTCTATTCCTGGTAATTGACCATTTTTTATAGAGGATCTCACCATCTCAGAAGGCATCTAATCCTATGTCTCAAAAAATTTATCTTCCTGTCTTGAGATCATTTTAGCTGGTCATCTCTTTAAAAATAAGCAAAAATGCTCTTTTTCTGACTACATGAGCAATACATTTTTATTATTAAAAAAATTGACAATGTAGAAAAGTCAAAGGAAGTAAAAATACCACATATTTTCACCATTAACCACTATTAAATCCTCTTGTTTATCTTTCCATGGGAGGGGGTATATATGTTTATATATGTTGTGCATTTTCAGAAATGGGCTCTTATTTTATTTATTAATGCCTGTTAAAGCTTTATTATGGAAAATTTCAAACATATCCCAAAGTATATATCTAAAAATATTAATAATTTCTTAACCTTGTCACATATTTAGTCAGTGTTCACTTTTCCCTAATTTACTCATAAATGTTTTTTCCCCGTATGGTTTGTTCAAATCAGTATCCAAACAAGACTTGCTCAAATCCAGTGGATCCAAACACACTACATTTGTTTTTTTTATTCTTAAATCTCTTTCAATTGATAGGTTTTCTCTTTTATTTATTTATTTTTCATTAAAGTTTATTTGTTGAAGAAATGGATGTTCGTTCTTTTATCCCCTTCCTGTGCACTCTTCTGTTACGTGATTTTTTTTTTTTTTTTTTCTGTGGTACGCGGGCCTCTCACTGTTGTGGCCTCTCCCGTTGCGGAGCACAGGCTCCGGACGCACAGGCTCAGCGGCCATGGCTCACGGGCCCAGCCACTCTGCGGCATGTGGGATCTTCCCGGACCGGGGCACGAACCCGTGTCCCCTGCATTGGCAGGCGGACTCTCAACCACTGCGCCACCAGGGAAGCCCTGTTACATGATTTTTATTACTTGTCATGTCCCAGTTTATATCACTGAAATTGTGATACACACGCGTTCAGGGTCTTAAATTATATTGTTGATAAAATTATTAGATAGTTTAGGACCTAAAACTTGTCACTGGAAGCCTCCTTTCAGACTAACATCATTGCATTAACCAACTCTTGGGATATTATTTTGAGATCCAAACCTGGGAGAATTTTTAAAAAAAAAGCCCTCTGGGAATTACAGGAATTCCTAGGTTTGCTACCATATTATTTCAAGGTCCCTGGGAAAAGTCTTTGATTAGTAGGTATTATAGCAACAAACTCAATTTATGGAGTCTCTCTTTGTGGCCAGGTGATTTGTTAGCTGCACTATTCTAGCACTTGGAGTAATACTGACACTAAACCCATGTGTAGAGTTTTTAATGTTCAAAACATCTTCATACATCAAATAAAAATTTTCAGGCATAAAAATCTTAATTTTCCATGCTAAAGTTCTTTGGAAACTAAGTTAACCTCTACGTAGGGACCAACAATTAATCCGGCTAATTCTTCCCTCTGAGGTGTATCGATGGTCAAGTAAACTTTGCTTCCTTATTTTTATAGTAAAATGATGAGTACTTTTTTCAAAAAAGAACATTAAACCTATGAATGGTCAGAATGGTATTCTTAAATAGTAATTATCCTACAGATATCTAATAAAGCCTTTCAGGACATATTTCACTCTTTTTGTTTGTTTTGTAAACTGATATTTAGTAAGTGACA